AAAAAAAAAAAAGGTCGGGGATTTAGCTCAGTGGTTCCAGCGCCTGCCTTGACAGCCCAAGGTTCCGAGTTCGATCCCCAGTACGCACCCCCTCCCCCCCAAAAAAGCACTGCCTTGGGGCCAGGGATTTACACTTGAAGTTAGCCAAAAGGCTGAGAAGCGATACGGGCCCCGGTACCAAAAAACAAACAAACAAACAAAAAGTCTTCCTTTTATCACTATGTCAGGGGTACAAGAAGCTTAATAGAATAAAAAAGGAAAGGATTAGCAGTGATGGCCTGGAAACCAGGAAGCCTGGATCCTATCAAGAACCCTGACACTGGAACACACTCATTTTTAATCATTTTTAGAGTCACAAACTCAAATCTGATTCATATTGAGAACCTCTCCTTAACAAGGCAAACATGGCAAAAATCCACACGCACAAACATTTTCCCATGTAATTTTGAGAGTGGAAGCAGGGTTCTGACAGATCAGCCAGTGAACTATGGCACAAGAACCTTATTCTCTGAGGAAACAAAATTATGAATCACAGCTGGGTGATGGGTTTATGGCCTAGGTACTTCTGGACTGAGACTCACTCTTACACCACTTTCCCAAATTACAATAACCTTACACACTAGGGTCAGAAAGAGGAGAGATAAAGCTGAATGGGAATGCCACAAAGCAATGTAGGAAAGTGGCAGGGGAGTGAAGAGAGAAAATGGGAGTAAGGATGAAGTCTATTTAGGTACTCCAGCAAATCCAAAGGAAACCAAAGTAGGCAGTTTGTAAAAAATGAAAATGAATAACTGCAGGCACTGAAGACTGCCAAGATTCAGAGTTTCCATTCATTTTGCGGCACTTCTCATGAGTTCGAGGGCGTGCTACTCACCAATATTGGCAGGAAAGGGAACTTCATGTACAGCTGGGTCCAGGTTGATAACATAAGGTGGAGAGCTGTGGGTATGCAGGTGTCCTGTGAGTCTCTGTAAAGATATGAAGAGTTGCAGAGATGAAAAGGAATGATAAGGGGATCAGAGAGAACTCATATTCCTTCATGACTGAAGATTTTGGCTTTATTTCCTTCTACTTAACATATCCACTTGCTACGTCGACACTCAACTCAGTTTAAACGCTCCCTGTCTTCATCACCCATCTAACTGAGCCTCCTCTACTCTAGATCATTTATTTAACTAACTTTCTATGGATTTTTTTTTCCGTTTCCTTCACTAAAATGTTAGTTCCATGTCAGCCAGAAACTTGTCCATATCACTTGAGCTGGATCTCCAGGGCTTACAACATGATAGGCACGGAAGAAATGATTCTTTGGCAAGTCTTCCCCGAAAACCAGTGTCACGTTGTTCCATCTCTAGAATTACTTGTAAGCCCCAGGCTTCGGCCAGCAGACAATTTTACCAGCGAAAAGAATCAGTACAACGTGGTAAACTGTTCAAAGCGCGCAGTGAGGAGGCGCAGCGCACAGCCTTCGTTGACCCTTGTAGGGTCCAAGACTTCCCACACGGACGAAGTGAGTTGATGAGAAGGCCCCAAAAGCTAGAAGCCTGCACGCTGCAACTCCCCAAACAACTCCCCTACCCTTGCTGCCTGGCCTTTCGCCCGCCGAAAACAACCTCTCGCGCATCCTACTACGCCCGCGCTGTTCACATCACCTGTACAAAAGTGGTTTTCCCGGATCCTGCCATTCCCAAAACCAAAAGACACACGGAGGGCCGCGAAGATCCCGCACCCGGGAGCTCGGCCGCGATCCCTCCGGCCGCCATTTTTCCGCCAGGCCCGCCCACATCATCATAGAGACGCCTCCGGGCTAGAGAGACTTCCGCTCCTTTTCAGGCCTAGAGGGGGCCAATGTTTCAGACGGCCCGAATCCAGGACAACACCGCTGTGGGGACGCCAGGTGGCGCCTTCTGTGTGTCTGACCCCATTGTGGCCTGGTCGTCAGGGAACAAGATGGGATGGGATCCCCAGCACGAGCGAGCTCGCATCCTCCCAAGAAAGCTGAAGGGAGCCTCTGGAGGGCCGGCCGTTATGGCTCCTTTGACAGCCGAGTAACTCACAGCTGCTACAGACGGTCCTGAGGACCCGACGCGTTTTTAAAGTGCTGTGTTTTCTTAATGTGTTAACATTGCTTACTCGGCGTTTCTATAGTCCCCACCACGAGGAGTACTTAATCCAGCGCGCGCGGATTCTACAGGGAAGAATATATGGGGTCCTGAGGCCCCGTCCTTAGTAAATACGATACCACTTTTTTCCCTGGGTCAAAGCACCAACTTTTTGTAGAGCTTTACTGTTTTTAATTCTAACTACGAAAATGCAGTACCACTGGGGCCAGGGATTTAGCTCAGTGGTTTCGCTGCCTGTTGCCCAAGCACAAGGACCCGAGCTCGATCCCCGGTACCAAAAAAAAAAAAAAAAAAAGGAAAGAAAATACAGTACCATTCAATGTGGACAACAGGTGGAACGGGAAGACCCATTTTTTTCATGCTACTATGAGTCTGGGTTGATTTTCATTTTTAGTATGTTTGTTGCCTTAGATTTTTTTGTTTGTTTTGTTTTGTTTTTTTCTTTGGTACCGGGGATTTAACTTGGCACCTTGCTCTTGCAAGGCAGGCGCCAGAACCACTGAGCTAAATCCCGGCCCTGTTGCCTTAGATTTGATAATGTTGAAACTAGAAAAGAAAGTCAAATAAGTTAGCTGCTGTCTCCGATTTATTTGATGAATTCGTGAGCACGTCTGAGTCATGTTATACTCTTTGATGTCCCCTATCCGTTAGGAGATGCTAGTACCATTTCGAGGAAGATGCAGTTTTAGAATGTTTATGCCTAGCAAGCTGGCTAAATATGGCATAAAGGTGCAGGGGTTTTTTTGTTGGTGGTGCTGGGGTTCGAACTCAGGATCTTACACTTTTGAGGTAGGCGGCAGAACCACTGAGCTAAATGCCCGGCCCTAAAGGTACAGATTTTAGCTGATGCTAAGACTCATTATATGCTAAATGCGGAAATATATGCTGGTGCTGAAGTAAAGACAGCTAATCCGACGGAACCTACCTTATTTAATCCTACAAGAGTTGTTCTTGGGGTTGTGAAATGTAGTGAAGGTACTAAAAGAGATATTAGCGGTAACAACTGGTATTGCTCTCTGGAACTTCTTGATGAATTTAAAAAGAAAAACTTGACTTTGTAGGCACTTTGAAAGAGCTATACCATCTCAATATTTATCAAATAGAAAATAAACTGTTCAGGGCCGGGGATTTAGCTCAGTGGTGCTGCCGCCTGCCTCGAAAGCAGAAGGTCCCGAGTTTGATCCCCGGTACCAGAAAGAAAGAAAGAAAATTAACTGTTCAGTCATCGGTATTTGGATTTTCTGCTATCACATTAGTTTCCTATGTACCAAAAAAAAATCAAGTATGCACCACAGCAATTCTGGTGACAAACCAAAAAGCCTGAAATTATTCACTTTTATAATGACACAAATCTGGACTTGACACTTTAAGTAGAAAATGTGCATTTTATTTGCCCTTCAAAAGAATCCACTGTTGGCCAATGGCAATTTTTTATGCCATTTTAAATGTTACAGGTGTTAACGTCCATGTATTGTACCAATTTGCACAGGAGGTGAAATAATGAAACATTCTGATTTTACTAAAACCCTTGGGATGCTGTTGAGGAAAATCTACATTCCAGAATGGCTGCTTAAAAAGTGCCCATAAAAGTACAAAAACTTTTAGCAGAAATCCTGGGAATGGAGATTCCTGTTATAGAAGAGCCCAGACGACCTATGGACAAAAGCAAAAGATGTGCCATGTGCCCCAGCAGCAAGGACAGAAAACTGCTATCCAAAGTGATGCTTGTAAAATGCCAATTTGTAGTCAGTGCCGTAAGAAACTTTGTCCTGTTTTGAAAATTAATTTTAAGTTACAAATACCTTATGTGTTTACAAATACAACTTTAGCATATTTTTTACTTTTATAAAAAATCAAATTTATGGCCCCTCAGGACCCGTGCGTATATGAAGCTGAAATGAGTCGGTAGTAGCTGTGGGTTAAACAGCTGAGGGCTGCACGGGTCAACCCCAGGGTGGTGTGCAGCCTCCGGACGCCCCGCACTGTGCAGAAGCGTTGGAACCGCGGGGAGACGCCCGGGTGGGAAGTCCCTGCATCTGGACACTGTGCCCGTGAGCGGCCGACCCCTGCCACCAGCGCGTGCTCCTCGGTCTTCAACCTCAATGACCTGCAGAGTTGCACTAGTGGGTCCCTCGATCCTGGGAGCGTGTAAGTCCCCAGAGCGCGCTGGACTCCCATGGAGAGGGTCTCAGAGACGTGGGAACTGTGCTCCCCCAGTCCAGAAAATTCCTCCTGGACCGGACCACCCAGTCTTTCTCCGCGGCCCTTCATAGCTGCTACAGTAGAATCTGCGAGTCATACACACCGAGTTTCACACCCAGACTGCCACTTGTAACGCTGTTATGTCGTGCACAGGTCACAAAGATTCTGAGCCTGTTTTCTCCTTTGGAATACTGAGATCAGATTGCTCAAAGTTGCAGGGAATGCAGTGTATGTGGAAAGCCTAACTCTTTTCCTGTGCCTAGCAGTTTCTTGAGTGTAATATATGCTCAAAAAGAATTCTGGGGTCAATTAAGGATGATTGTGCATTTAAGAAATTATTTCCTAGCATAGTCTGATGGCACACCTCTGTCATCCACACTGTGGGAGTGTAAAGCAGCAGGATTGTAAATTGGAGCCCAGCCATGTATCCTGGCAAGACTGTGTGAAAATAAAATATACTGAAAAAAAGGACTGGGCATGTAGCTCCCCTAGAAGGCCCTGCATTCAATCCCCAGAACCACAGAAAATAAAATATTTTCCTAAATTGTGACTAAGAACTGATAAAGGAATGTCTGATTTGTTCTAACTTCAAATTTGCTGAGATTTGCAGTTCTTCCCTCCCCAGTCTATATCTCACTGTACTAAATAGATGTTTCCAAGATATCCTAGAGAGGAAAGCAGGCTAAAGGAAAGATGGTAACACGGAAGAAGCTGAACAATGATAATAAAGAAACTCAAATTAGGTACAAGGAAGTTTTTTGTCCAGGCTGAAAACAAATCCTTTCTGGAATATCTGACCAAAAAAGAAAAAAGAAAAGAAAAGGGAAAAAAAGCCCAGAAAAGAAACCATGATGAGCCATGGAGGAGGTAGTGTTTCCAACAATACAAGGAGATTGAACCTAGAACTGAGAACTTCCAAACAGGCAAAACAAATGTGTCGTAAAACAGGTCTTGCAGGGGGAAAAGATCCAACCAGAATTGAAGCAGCAGTTGTGGGCCCTGGGGAAAATTTCTGTCATAAAGGAGAATCAGGACATAGTACAGATATTACAGGAGTAAAACAAGCCCAGCCCAGGCAGCCACGGACTGGCAAATACTCCCAGGTTCTACAGCAAAAAGCATTCCTGAAGCAACAATTGGATGAGTTGGATGAGAACCAGCTGGGACAGAGGAAAAGCAGTGAACCCAAGAGGAAGACCCAGGCCTTGGAGCCCACACCACCACAGTTCAGTTCCGAGTTCTGCCTTCCCATCAGGCGAGAGATCCATCAGTAGCCCCTTAGAAAAAAGTGTTCCAGAAACTGAAGGCTACTCAAAGTGTGTTACAAAATCAGCGGACCAACTGAGGCAGGACCAGCAAGGACTGTGAGCCAGGCTTGGTCGGGGCTCAAAAGAACAGGGTACTCCACAGACCACACTGAGCTCTCCCCTAGGCATGGAATCAAGAATAAACCCAAACCAGGAGTTGATACACACCAGTAATCCCACCACTTGGTGAGGCTGAGACAGGAGGATTTCCAGTTTGAGCTCAACTTACGCAATTTAGCAAGACCCTGTCTCAAAATAAACACAGCCAGGTGTAGTGGTGCACACTTGTGATTGGTACAGATACTCTTAGGCACTGAATAAAATTAGGAAGGCTTTTAGATTTTTTTTTTTGGTATCGGGGATTGAACTCGGGTCCTTGCACTTGCAAGGCAGGCAGCAGAACCACTGGGCTAAATCCCCGGCCCTAGGGCTTTTGGATTTAAAGAGCACTATGGTAAAATATCCACCATGGAAAATTCTTTTCAAGTTGGTTTTTTTTTAGTTTTATTTTTTATGTTTTAACTGTTAAGCAGTTCAGGCTAGCCTCAAACTCACTGTGTAGCCGGAGCTGGCCTCAAACAGGGTGATCTTCACAGTTTTTCTTCACTTAATTTCTAGAAAACAAAAAGTTGATTCCCCCCGTCAGAGGACCAATGTTAAAACATGGGATGGGCCAGGGATTTAGCTGAGTGGCACTGCACCTGCCTTGCAAGCACAAGGTCCTGAGTTTGATTCCCGGTACTGCAAAAAAAACCCCAGAAAAACAGAAACAAAAAACAAACAAACATGTGATGCTACTGCCATTCTAACATTCACAACTAATAAATCACTGTACCAGCCTCAGTGTCCTAAATGCCAAAAATGCAACCACTTGAAATGGCATTTTAAAAGCTTAAAAATATTTGGACTTTTTTTTGTTATGTCATCCATTTCTTTAACAGCACTTAAGAGCACTTCTTTAACAGCACTTAAAGTTCTAAAATGACAAAAGTTATTTATAGCAGGTATTTCAGTTTTAGGTCATTTGGTTTTTCTTACACATGTACTTTGTAGTATATAAAATTCCTTTAGTAACTGGTATGCTCCATATATTTATGCTCATATAATGCAAATAGGAATCACTTCGTTTTGTTTTCTGAGACAGGTCTCACTATGTAATTCAGGCTGGCCTTGAACTCAGTGTAGACCAGAGTAGCCTCAAATTCAGAGTCATCCTCCTGTGAACCTCCTGACCGCTGCAATTACAGGCGTGCGCCACCACGTCCAGCCAAGAACTGCTTTAATTTAGTGACTTATTTAGCAGAGCTGTATATTTTCCATGCATGACAGGCTGAGGCTAGACAATGATTTATTGGAATAAAACCCAGTGTAGGAATATATTTCCATATTTAACTCAACAGGAAAATAGAATCAACTTTGTTTTCCAGAGATGACTAGGAATGAAAAACTTCAAAGTTTCCTGAATTTTCAGTCTTATTTCTAGGTAAGATGAATTTACTTAAAATTGGATTTAAAAAAATTCTTCCATGTACCTTTCACTCTAGCTTTAACATTATTGGTTAAACATGTTTGTTTGTTTTTTTTATGGTATAGCACATTTAATAATCCATATATCTGCATAGATACCTATACAAACACAGAGGTGAAATTGGGTTCTCTGTGGAGCGGGATGCCCTGCGATTTTTTCTAACTTTCCATATAATAATCTATTACAATGACTATATAGTTATCTTAACAATAAAAAAATAATTTCCAAAAGTCCATTTATAGTAAGTTTTGATCTTTTGTTCACATTTATATACCAAACACCTGGTTAAATTTCACGTTGAATGTCTTGGTAGCCAAATTTGGTCTTTGTTCCTCTACACTCAGGAACCAAACAGACAGAGACAGCAAGAGAACATCTGCAATTCTTCTTTATATTAGCCTTCTTCTTGGCTCCATTACTGTCATTGTCTTTTAAACATTTTTCTTATAAAGCTCTGTGTTTACATTCTTCTTGGAATGAGATAGACTATAAATAACATACAGGTAGGGTTTTATAGAAAAACATAACTTTAATAAACTCAATTAGGGGTAGGAGGACTCTGGGGATAGGGTAGTCGCAGCATAATGATCTGACTCTCTGGGAGTAAAACCACTGCAACCAGACAGCATGATGCCAAGGCATCTAAGAACCTTATCCTTCAACGTCTAGGAGAAGCAGTGAGATGCTGTTAAGTCATCCAGAAAAAAAGATCAAGAGTCTTCCTTTTCCTGAAACTTGCAGTTGGTGCAGGTGTAGAAGACAGTGTGGTCCTCGTCGGCCGAGCGCATGTGTCTGGTGTGGTAGGCCATCCCCTCGTGACCACATCTCGAGCAGCGCCTATCAACCACGGGTCCCTGGGACTCAGGTCCTTCCTCCCCCCACGCAGGCATGGCTGTCCCCAGTCTGTGGAACACAACTGAGGTCTTCACAACCTTTCCTTCGAAGTCCCTCGCGCTGACCGGGAAGCCGCAACGCGTGCAGGCAAGCGCGTCCTGAGCGCCGGGCAGAGGCAGGACGGAGCCGCACTCCGGACAGAAATCCAGGTCCGACTGAAAGCTGGAGCCGCTGCTGGCGAGCTCCATGTCTGACCTGCGGAGGAGGCCGGAAGGGAAGGAGAAGTCTACAAACCGCAGACTTAGAGAAGCCAGCCGTTCCCGTCTGCGCCCCACGCAGGGGATTTCTCTGCGACCCAGGCGCCCAGGATTCGCAACCTGTGCTGGGAGCCGCGGATCAAGGTGCCAGCTCCGTTAAAAATGTTAATTCATTAGAAACAATGTTTTTTGTTATTAAAAGTTTAAAATTTACATAGTTATAACTTATTGATTTTATGTTGTAATTTATTGATTTTATTACTGTTCCAATATACTGAATTTTTTTTCTTTCCTTTTTCTCACTAAGGATTGAACTCAGGACCCTGCACTTGCAAGGCAGGTGCGGTGCCACTGAGCTAAATCCCCAGCCCTGAATCTTCTTTCTTATCACTCCATTTCCCATTCTTTCATATCTTATTTATACTAGTGTTTAATAAAATTAGTTTTAATCCAGAAATTATAGCTCAAGATAGCATGCAGTTCCCTTCACCTGACTATTCAATTCAGGAGCTAAAAATAAAGACAGAACTTGGAAAGCTTGGTGTCTAAGACCAACCTCATGGTCTAGTCCTTGTGGATGGAAACTTCTAGGAAGGCTGGAAGGAGTTGGAAAATGGTGAGGACATTACCACCCTCACCCCTATGCTGTCCCTAATTATCTAATTCAGGAGTGAGAAATTCTTCTGGTCACAGTATCTTTTCCTTTCTTATCAATCACAGAGCTTGCCCATGGCTGTCCCTCTAAGACAGCAAAGAGCGAATGATTATCTAGTAAGATAGGCTGAAATCCATATTCCCATATGAGCAGTGGGTTGACCAACTAAAATGTCATTCTACATTTTGTCTGCTTTGCTATGAAGAAATTACAAAGGGAGATGATGTCACAGAAATTGCGTGAGGTAACAATTATGTAAGACTTGAATGATAAAATGAAGCCTCCGGTGCAAACAACTGGGCAAGAAAACATTCCAGGCAGAGGCAAGAGTCAATCAAAATACATATGGGAAATGAGCCTGAAAAGAAAAATAAGCGTGTTAAGTTCACAGAACAGAAAGGTACAAGTGGCCAAAGTGTAGGTGGGGAATGATCAGAGAATATAGGTAGAGGAGAGGAAGATGAAGCTGAGAAAAGAGAGCCAGAGACAAAGAAAAAATTCGTTGTTGGTACATCTGGATGAACAATGGTACCCACTGCTCGAAGGGGAAATAAGTGACCACAGAATGAGGGAAAAAAATCAAAGATTAAGTTGAAGCAGAAGTAAAATTTCCAGGGTTCCCTTTTCAGAAGGAGGTAGGCAGAACATATGCTTTCAGGTATGAACTGTTATTAAAAAGTATTTCAGACATATAAAAAACATAAAAAGCTACAACCCATTACATGCCTGTAATCTCAGCTACTTCGGAAGCTGAGGCAGGAGGATGGCAGGTTTAAGGTCAACCTGAGCTTAGTGAGATGGTATCAAATTTTTTAAAAAGGGATGGGATGGGATGGGACTGGGGATTTAGCTCAGTGGTTCTGCCGCCTGCCTCGCAAGCAGAAGGACCCGAGTTCGATCCCCAGTACCCAAAAAACAAAACAAAAAAGGGATGGGATGTAGCTCAGTGGTAGACACTGGGTTGAATCCCCAGTACAATTAAAGAAAATTAAAACATTACAAATTCAGTTGGAGGCCCTCTGAATCCCAGAAGCTCTAGGTCTGCTGCTTACCACTCCTGTGTGTGTTTACACAGGGCAGTTTCTGTATGTTTCTAAACACAGTAAGGACAAAACCATTCATTTTGGGGGCCAGGGATTTAGCTCAGTGGTGCCGCCGCCTGCCTTGCAAGTGCAAGGTCCCGAGTTTGATCCCCAGTACCAAAAAAACCAAAAAACAAAAACCATTAATTTTGAGAATGTGCATATTCCACTGTGACTACATCACAACTTATTCATTCTTCTGAATCGACAAGGTTGGGTATTAGAGTAGGCTAACAAAAAGACCCAAGAATGTATAACATCTCAAATGACAGACATTTATTTTTTGCTCACATAATAGTCTCAAGAGAGAAGTTCCTGGCTGGCAAGTGGCTGTCCTTAGGGGGTGACACAGGGAGTACACAACTTTCCATTCTGTGCTTCCTATCCCCTAGTGACTCACCATCGCCTGCATCTAACATGAAGAAAGCAGAGTTACACTCTCTTCAAAGCGTTAGCCAGGAAGTGACAAGTATTACCTCTCCCATTCCAGGGAAGAGAAATGAGGCATCCACCCACCTTTACCACAAGCAGGGTGGGAAAAGGGACAAGTGGGTAATCTAGCCTAAACACCTAGAACTTCAGAAAACGAGATTACTGTGGATAGGTGATGCTCTTTGATACTTATTTCTAGTACCTCTCTACTGAAAATAGTACTGCAATAATTATTTTTGTTCATCTCTCGGTACAGCTAGGAAGAGTTCCTGTGCACATGCCTAGGACTCAAGCTGAGTCTTAGGGTGTATCTTCAACTTCACTAAATATTGCTAAATTATTTTCTAAGTGGGTGCATCAATTTACATTCCATACCATGCATGAAAGTTCACATTACTCAACCTCCAATACCACCAAATTTGCTTTATGTTAATCTAAGTGAGTAGTGTGATTAGGATGATCCATACTGAGCCCTGCTACTGCCTGGCCAAGGGAACAAAAAGGCTGCAAGAGCACGGATGAGATAGGACAGGTTTCCTGTACCAATTCACTTGAGCCACAAATTACTCATTTTAACCAGATTTCAGGAGCCAAATAACTCCTGAGATAGCTGCACGTGGGGCTTATTTCAAACACAGTTCGGTCTCCAGCCATTGTCGTACCAGGGAGTCAGGTAGCAGATCAGAATCAAAGAACTGGAAACAACATTCTAAGTGAGAGTCATTTATTTCTTTTGTCATTGCCAAACATACCCCAACTCCTACACCAGAAAGTAACATATTTTCTCCATTTCTCCTCCCTGTCAACCCTCATCTGCTAAAATGTCTTTAAGGGCACAACTGCCAATGGAGATGTAGTGTGTGTACTACTTTTCTTCACTTTCTACCTATTCCAGCAGTCCCTAATTCAGGTCTGAATGTGGTCTTCACAAAAGCCCACATGTTAAAGCTATTCAGAGAAGCAGAGAGAATAGAGGGTTAAAGGGTGGCCTCAGCTTTTCAGATTTGGAAAAAAAAGTAGTGTTTGCCCATATCAAGGTTAATTTTTAAGTGATATACGCCACAAAACTGGTGAGAACACTTAAGACCAATATTTACGCAAAAAGAGAACTTATAAACACAAGGCTGCTCTAAACACTGCTCCAGAAAAAGCCACCCCCTCCAGTAGAGAAAGAGCCCATAAAGCATTACCAGGTAGGCAGGAGGACAGATGAAGATGTTTTCTTTCCAGCTCCAGATATTCACATCTGGTGTCAAAGTCTCAGAAAAAGAGGACAGAACTCCATATAAAAGAGGACAGAAGGACAATATTCTCAGAAAATTCAAAGACACAGAGGTTAAGTAAAGGGCTGGCAAGGACTTGGCAAGGTGTGGATAAACAAGTGAGGTAAAGTCCAAGGGAGAAGGAAGGTGCACCTTGGTTTCCAAACTTAGTGGCATTGCAAGGTGCACCAGGGCGCTGTGTCAAAACACCAGGGGGCACAGTGACGTTCACAACTTTTAAAATCACGGGAGCCAAAGCAGGCTTCGGGAGGGGACTGACCATAGCAACAGATGAGGCTCTGGGTCCCAAGAAAGTTGGGCTAATTATTACTGCTTCTGCTTTTTTCTTTCCAGTCATTTAAATATTTGGGACACATTACTCCTCAGGCTGCTTTTCATGCCTGTGGATCTACTTAGTCACTGCTGCTTGGTACAGACAAAGCACCTCCCAGGATAACCACTGTAGGGAGGCTCTAGCTTTTTCATGCTAAGTCTTTTTCTCTCTTTCAATCCTAAAATCACACTGAGGACAAACAGCCTCTGCAAAGTTTTGCTTCCCAAGGATTCGGGGTAACCCTAGTAAGTAAGCAACAACAGTTCTAGCTTCAAGGCTTGTTGTATTACAAATACAAAATGATAAACCCATACTGTTTTTTTTAAAAAGTAGTTTGAAATTGTTCGATAAGTTACACAATGGAGTAACTACTAAATCAATGGAGCTTCCAAGAACATTTGAACCTCAGGAAAGAAAGGACAAGTAAACACCATTCTTAGTCTTGTACAGGGCAAGAGGGGCCTATAGTTGGCCTTGAAAGGGATCTCTTCGGGCAAGAGAAGAGAAAAACAGGAGGACTCCCATAAAGAATAGTAGAAAATCTTGCTACAAGGGGCATGGGGAAGGAATGAGAGTGAATAAGTAGGGAAGACGGTGAAATTTACACAGGAGCTGAGAAAGTCACAGCCTTGCATGGACAGTTGCAAGCATCTTCACTCAGCCCCAGGACTCAGGCCTCCCCGCACAGGTCCCCTGACAACAGTGTCACCTCCACTCTCCTAGGAGTGCTTTCACTGACTGCCTATTTCCTTCCTCGTTTATGATTCGTCTTTGGGGGCTTTGCTTTCTGGAACTGGGCTGCCACAGGCTCCTGCTCTGATTCCTTGCAGGAGGTCCACACGACCAGTTCCTCATTATTCCTCCTCTGATCCTTCCCTACTCTAAGGCTCAGCTGGGTCTCAGGAAGCTCAATGCCAGGCTGCTGCAGCCTTCTTAGTGATCTCCTGCTCCTGTGCTGCTGCCTCCGCTTTTCTTCTTCTTGCTGTCTCTGCTTTATCTTCATCAGCTTTTCAAAGCTTTTTGTTGTTGTTGGGTTTACAATAAACCAATCCTAGAGAGGCAAAATAGAAATATCATCCAGTCAGAAACACAGTGAACACTACAAGGAGTGTAAGAGCTCAGTTCTGCTCCTGGATACACGAGCATAGGTCAATTGTTAACCTCTCTGAAGAAGAAGGGGCAGGAAACAAAAAATCCAAATACAAAGTACTGACACAGAAAAAGAAAGGGAGGGGCTGGAGATTTAGCTCAGTGGTTTTGTCGCCTGCTGCGCAAGCGCAAGGACCGGAGTTCGATCCCCAGTACCAAAAAAAAACACAAACAAGAAAAAGAAAGGGAAAATAAGTGGGAAAGAAAATAGCAAATGAAAATAAAAAGGAGAGGGGAAGAGGGG